CCCCCCCCCCCCCCCCCCCCCCCCGAAATTCAAAGCAAAGGGGGCTTAAGTTAAAGTTTTTTGAAAAGGGTGGGGGGGGGGAGGAAGGTGATTGGAAAGAACCCCAGCCAGGAAAAAAAGGCGATAAATCCTTACCTTTTTCATTAAGGCAGCACCACAACCCTTTTTTAAATACTTTTTGATTCCTCAGCAAATTTACTGTACTACGTTGAGCTCATTAACCAGCACAGACAAAACATTAGAAGCGGAAGACAAGGTGAATTTGTCCCTGTTTAGGAAAAAAAAAATGAGAGGGGAAGGAAGCAAGATCAGAGAGGGTGGGGACTTGAAGCTCATTCTGTGGAGGGGGGGCAGAGAAAAAAGAATCCCTGTTCTTTGAGCAGCCTGAGGATCTGCTTAGTTGGCTCCAAAAGACCTTGAAATAATTTTGGGTTGGAGGAGTAGGGTGGTCTGGGAAGTGGAAGATTTGCAACTTCCTTTGGGAGAGGATGCAAAAACCTTTGTGGTTACCCATCTCCAGCGAGATTGTGAGCGGCCTCAGAAAGGCCGGAAATAGCCAAGACAAACTATAGGAGCAGATCAAGAATGTATCTTGCTTGGTGTTTCCTCTGCAACTTAAGGGTCATAATTAAGGGACAGAGAACTTGTTTGCTCTGGAGAAAGTTCAGCCTGTGGCACCTCCAAGTAAGAAGCTCTAGGGAGCCCTTGGTCAAGTGGTAACTGTGCTGGATATAAGCGATAAGGGGGCTTCCTGGATTTCACTTAATGTGATCTCTAAGCTCATCCTCTCTGTTCCTAAACCATGAGGTAACGTGAATCCAATCAACTGAAGCTTATTCAACAAACTAGAGTTAAGCAAAAGATAGCTTTGCACAACATGCAGACCAGGATCCTTTGTTTATAAGCATCAAGGCAACGCATCTGTCCTTTCCCATTTAGTTCCTTTGAACACAGAGGTTCAACTTAATATCCCATACATATTGAATTTGTATGGGTCTGTACATAGCCAGAATTAAGGTAGCTATGTACATAATACAAGAAGGAAGCACCAGTGGAGGGGAAAAAAGGAAATAGCAAAATGTGCAGATGTTAAAAAAAAACATAAAGAAGAACTGAGTTAAGGGGCACAGGATGCAGACTGTTGAAGGGAAATGGAAAGGAGGATGGAATGGAGCATTCTAAAGAAGGGCATGGCTGGCCAGCTAGCACCCTGAGTAAGATGACTCAAAGCAAGATCATATCACATTGTAACAGGTCTCATTTCTCCTAGCTAATGGAGAACTGAAGCCCCCAACTTCAGGAATTGCCACTGCTTGCCATTTTGGGAAAAATAAGATCAGGTAATCTTTTTCAGGATGTGATCAGAAGTGTAATGCAGGCACATGGTCAGCTACTACCACTAGGTTAATGACCAGCAGAGTCATTGTAAGAGTCATGCCACTAACTGGACATTGAACAATCATTGACCTGAAGATACTGGAACATGAGCTGCAATCTGGGTAACTCAGTTTTGGCATCACCTCTATTTCCTGATACAATATGGACTTGATGGATATTAAACCATTTTGGAGGAAAGGTCTTACATTGTGTGGCTATAGCAACAAATTCCATAAGTCCACTAAATCCATTGCAGAGTGACTCAGTAATTCAATTTGGAAACTCCTGACTCTTAGGACTAGTCAATGTCCACTCCCCCCCCCCACTTGGATGTCTATCCACTGAATGGGCAAAATTACATTATTAAGAAGGATGATGTGGCTAACATTACTTACTTAAGGTACTAATTTTGTAATGGTTCATTCACAGATGGGAAATCTTCCCTTGATGTTGGGCTTGCCTAAAACGTCCATCCTTCCCAATTCCAGTGTCTTCCAGAAGCATCAGGCTACAACTTCCATCATCATCCCCTTTAGACACTCAGCTAAAATAGGATCAGACAGTTTATTTGTAAAGATGATGGCAAAAATCAAACCAAAGGATTTGTTTTTAATTTGGCGTAGCATCAAGTTACCATCAATTTCATCACCTGGAAGACTCCCCATCCACCAAAGATAACCTGAAGGCATGATGCAAGCTAAAGCAGGCTTTCATATGGGAGGAGGTTGCTTTGGGGTCCAAGCTATTGATTGGTTTAACAAGCTAGATATTTGCATTGACACTGGCTAGGTGAACTCTGATTCAGTTCAAGGTAAGAAATGTGGTGCCTTCCAGCTCTTTTGGAATTCCCCAGCAACATGGCCAATGGCAAGAAATTATGAGGGTCATAGTCCAAAACATCTGGAGGGTTCCAGTTTGCCTATCCTAAATGGTTTTAGGGGTCAATCCACAACCAAGATCAAATATTGGCAAAATTCACCTTGGGTGAATGGATATGGCTTGAGTTCTTCTTCTCAGAGGTAATGTGTCCCATTCATTTTTCAACTGTATTTACTTTCAAGTAAACTCAAAGCATTTGGATGAGCTTGAATGGACCATGAAGGCCTGTATGCCTGGGAATTCAATTCTGCTAAAATCAACATGCATATATAGAGGATCAGAATAAAAATACTGAATTATTGAAAATCAGACATCCATCATTTACATTCAGAAAACATGGAACTGCAAGCAGATGCTCCACAATATTGTCTTAAACATGATTGTGATGGGTCCTCAAATGTTCATTTGGGTTGAGCACAGTGTGGAATATTTGGCTGATATTAATATGAAAACAGCAAGAGGAGATACCTACGGTGGTGGTCCTCTACTGTGGCAAAAACTATGAGGGGACCACTAGAGCCTGCAAGACTAGCTGCAGGATGAACCAGACACTTCCCCATGCGGTATGCAACTTCTGAGAAATGTTGATCTTCCAGCAAGTCTCCTTTACCTCTGTGAATTCAGAACACCCATCTGGCAAAGCCCACCCCTGCCAATCTGGGAGTCCTAAACATGCTAAAAAGCTGTTAGGGGATTTCATACCAAGTAGTGTTCTTAGTTGCTTTGTAGTCATGATAATGACTAGGGAGAGGTATTTGTGTGATTTTTTTCTGCTTTAGGTACTGGCATTACTTAACTGGAGGAAAAGGCTCCTGCAGGTTTATCTTCATACATCAGCAGATCTTGGGCCAGCCCTAACAATCACAGTGACTGACAAGTTTTACAGGAAACCAAAGATAAATTTATGCATAAAGATCTTACCGTTTCACCACAAACACTATTTTAAGCAGCTGTATATCCAGATTGATGTCTTTTCAGCTGCTCAGTCATATAAAAAGCCCAAACATTGTTACCAAGATTGTGTTTTTGTGACACTAACACTAAATCATCTCCGAGTTTCACATCTATTCCTCAGAGTGCTCACTGGAAGCCACTGCCTCAGTTCCCCATCTGTTAAGGGGACATTAGAATGGTGTGCCCATCATAAGATGGCTGCAAAGACAAACCCAATGAATAGAAGCACTCCACATTCACATGTGGTCTCTGTGAGGAAGTAAGGCCAAAGGGGAGTTAACAGGTGCAGTTCAAAGCACACTTCACTTGAGAGTAATCCCAATTAAATGCAGTGGCAATTAAACTTCCCTGATTTGTGCAGGATCTGGCTTCAAAGATGCAATATCATTATTAACCTTATTGTTTCTTGGCTTCAGGCAACCTCTTTATCTTTTCCTGCAACAACCCTCAATCTTCCTCCTCCCTCCCCCCTCTCCTTCTGCTTCACATGTGCAGGTCACTGAGAATTAATGTGGGAAAGGAAGCCTCTCCCGAGACTTGGTGCTCCTGCAACTCAGGACTTTCACACGCTGGAAAAATGAAACGGGTGAGAGAGAGCTGGGGAGGGGAGAAGGGGATCGCAGTGAGACGACACCCACTGAACTAGGGTTCCCCCCTATACACCCATGTTGGGAAGGTTGGAGCCCATGTACTGACTTCAAGAAAGCCGGGTGAATAAGTTTCGCCTGCTCTGCAGGTTTGTCTAAAGTTGTAAAGGCATGTGCTGATTAGAATAAGAAAGGGCGGTCGCGTGGCTCAGCTGGCACACAGAGAAGCCAGATGACAGATAAGCGCCCGCTCCCTGCGACCCCCACCCCCGCGCGACTTCCCCTGGCTCCGCTTCTCCCTCTCCCCGCCTCTCCCTCCCTGTTTTCCAGTCGCAAATCATCTGCTCCTCTCCTTTCCTTTCCATAATAAAGCGGGCGTATTTACCTGGGATCCCAGAACCGGCGGGGCATTTCTTTGTTTCCTCATCAGATTGCTGCCGCCAGCTGCTCTTCCAGCCCTTGCTTCAGCAAATCTGATCGGGGGGCCTGTCTAAGAGCGGAGAAGGAAGGAAGGAAGGGGAGAGAGAGAGAGAGAGACCGATTGGCTAGGAAGTCTCGCTCTCGCTCTCCTTCAGAAGTGTTCGGTTTCTGGCAAACTTGCGCCATTGCAGAGAGCCTACTTGGGGCTACCCCCACGTTCCCCAACGTGGAAAGGACTTTTGGTTTATTTTTTTCTTTCTTTCCCCGAACCTGAAGTCAGTCGCGTGCCAACATCGACCCAGGGAGCACCTGCCGGGTCTGCTGAGCAAATGCAAAACTAGTTGCCGGGGCCGCGAGAAGAGACCTCTGTGAGCCTTAGCAAGCCACGCGGATCCGCCTACCCAGGCAAGATGCTATTTCCCGCAGGATCCCGCTTCAGCCTCCCCCCAGATTACTTGTAGGGCTGCCCGGCGGAAGACGAGGGCATAGGTTTCTTGGTGGGTGGAGAGTAAGCGGATGCTCGGAGTTTGTACCAGACATATAACTGACCGAAGTTTTAGAGCTGATTCCCACGTGCTTTGCGTTCGTTTTCTGCCTGCTATCCAATACCCTCTGGGTTGATTCCCTGGACTGAACCGCACATTAGCCGCCTAATAGGTAAATGGGAGAAAGGCAGGATAGAAATCAAATAAATAAAATTAATAGTTGGAAAGTACTGGACGCAGGGAATGGTATGAATGCTTCCTCTTAGAATGTTTATTTCAGGACATTTTGCACATGGTGGGCAGAAATGTGGTGGTAAAATCTGAATTGCAGACTTTTGGGGGACACCTGTTTTTCCAAGTCCAAATTCCATATGAAACAATATTTTTCTTAGCCCATTTCAAAATTTTATCAAATACACATTTTCAAAATTTAACAAATACACACAATCTACTGTCTTCATTAACTAAAATATTACCTGTACAGAACTTACATAAAATTATAACTCTCATTCTCATTTCTCCACTTGTACTATAGAGGGCCTGTAACTTTAGGCCTTCAAGCATAACCTAAAGCAGACTATGATTTAAAACGGAATCAAAATTAAACACATTTTTGGAATAATTTTCTTTTTGTCATGTAAAAAATAACTTGGCAACAATTTTTGCTTGTAAGCCTCTTCTCTAGAACATCTGTGATGTCATGATGGGATGGTGTGAGTTGAGGCTTGATCTTTGCATCCATACTAATTAGACATATAATGTGGCTGGAATAAGAACAAAAGCACTGATTTCTTGTTGGAACATTTCACTAGCAGATGAGCTTGTTGATTTACCATATTTATTATCTAAATGAGGGATGGGCTATAGACCATTAAATCTAGAGCCCATCTAGATTTCTTAATATCTTAAGAAATCAATGGACACTATAGCCAGACCTTATGCATATCATTAGTGTAATCATTAGTATCATTGTCTTCCTCCTCTAGGAACCCAGAGCGAGGTACAATCCCCTACCCAATAAAACCAGAAAAACCAGTCAACAATAATATCATCTGTTATAAACCAAGATAAAGCAAGAATACAACAAAATAAAGTTCACTGTAAAAGGTCATCTGAAGGGCAATCTGTTCATGGAACCCACAGAATAAGCTGCTCAAAATCATACCTTCCACATTGGACTTGCTTTGAATAAAGTATGTGCAGAGGAAATACATTTAGAATTGTGCAGCACTATTTAGGCCCCAAGATAACATAACCAAATTGTGACTCCTCTCTGGGAATACACAAGACACTAGGAACACTGTGGGTGAAAAAGTCCTAGCCAGCCACTGTAGACAATGGAAGTTGTAAACCATGGCTTGGCATAACTCGTGAACAGAGCAACTAGAATGATAAGAAATAAGCTTGTGCAGGACCCATCATTTATGTGCAAGTGTGGCTCTGGGATTTTTAAATAATCTTCATCATCCCTCTGGGCATGTGCTTGTACCTTGCTTTTAGAAATGAGTAATTGCTACTAGCCCCCAGTATCTGTCTTAGAATGAATATTTTTGTAAGATACAGTGATGCACATCACAAAAAAGAAAATGAAGATGGGGTTGTGTGCTTTTCAAAATACTTGCCATGGAGTTCTGTTTTCTACCACTTGTGATAGAAATGTAAATTTCTTTTATCAACAAAATGTTATCTTAATATCTGGAAGATTTTTTTAAAAATGCATCAGTAAAAAGATATTTCTATTTGAAGTTATATTACCCCACCCAAGTCACCCTGAAAAGTCAAGCTCATTATCAAGAACATTTAATGTATTGTATTACTGATGTTAACAATCTTATCACATAACATATCACATTATCTATGTAACTTATTGTATTAGTTCCTTAATGTCTGTTTTGACTTACACTTCAAAAATCTCATTTATTTTTTATTAAACATTAGTTTTAAATATTGGATTGTACCAATGGTGTTATTCTGCTTATACAGACATCATTGTGAAGTACATGCAAAGGTCATATCTAGGGATTTTTTTATACAGCGTACTTCAACACGAAGTTTCTAATATCAAATGCAGAATATGATTCACTAATGTTTGTGCAATCTACTATGCAATGAAATGAATTATTAAGAGAATATCTACTTGTCCATTTTTTTCTGCTAATATAACTTGAATATATTACACTTCATTCAGAATGCACTGGAACTATATTCAGAGTAAGTACACTTAGCATTGCAATCTTACAGAAAATCACAATTTGCTAATAAATACTCTAGAATATCCCTTTTGCTTCTGTCTTTTTTGCCATTTGCAGAATATCTGAATATCCCACTTCTATTACTTTTCTCATAGCTGTGTTGTTTTTCATTTAAAGCAGAAGTCCTTTTCAGAAAGTGATTTTCAGTCCTTTTCAGACAGTGATTATGAAAGAGGAGTTTGGGGATGATATAGATCCTCTGCTTCTGGAGTGGGGGTTCTTTTTTTCTGTGAGCATCTGCCTGTAGAAGAACAGATGTGGGCACCTGCAGTGACAGGCTGCACATGTTCCACACTATTCATAGGCATTCAGATGTGGCTACAATGGTAAGCCTTTGTGTATGCAAAGTCACTAAATATATTAATCTGCATTCCCCTGAGCACTGCTCCATTTAATTTTTTCATTGGCAATAACATCTGATCTAATCCTCCAATTGGCTCCCTACTGTGCCCCATTTTTCCCTGGAAAGATACGTGAAGTTATTCAAGTTTCCACCTGTTGCCTATTGGACTGGAGTTAGTTATGGGATCATCACAAAATTTCAGACAGACACTCATGGTT